AATGTATGGCTTATGATATGCTTTTGTTGGCTGTTCTCGTTTGGTCTGATGTCACTGCCATTGCTGGGCATTTGGGGCCGATTTGGTCTCAAAGACAGTACCTTCTCGTGCACTATACTCGCCGATAGCTACGGGCGCTCTCCTAAAAAGTTTTTGTTTGCTTTCGGTTTTGTTATACCCATTACTTTCATCATCATTTGCTACACCATTATATGGGTTCACGTGAGAAGACAATCCAGTCTTACTGTTAAGACATCGAAACGAGATCTAAGGCTAACGAAACTTATTTTCGTAATATTTGGCGCTTTTCTCATATGTTTCGCTCCAAACACTATCACTAATGTATTGATCAGCGAAATGGAGTAATTGAACTAAAATTTATTTCTATCATAATTCTGGACTAAATAATGTCTAATTATGTATTCACGACAGGTATCCATATCTGCACGTATTGTCCACAATGCTATGTTGGCTTAACTCATGCGTCAATCCATTCATCTATTTTGCAATTAATCCCAAATATAGGGTCGCATTGAAGAGAGTATTAAAATTAGGCACTTATTCGAGTCAATCGTTTAACGAATCGCTTACTTCTGAACATCACTTCAACGCAAAAATTCCCATTTTTACCAATAATTCATTTATTGTCAGACATGAGACTAATTGATAGCCAGAATATACTATATGACTAAATAAAGGAATATTTGTTTATCTATGAAAATAATTTGACCTCAATTTGTGAGTCAATGTTTGAGAATAGGGAGGGATGTTCTTGGTTCTTGGTACTTAAATACAATTGTGGAAAGTTATTCATAAATAATATATTATTTCATAGTTATACTAATTGGTAATTTATTTTTTAATCATATTAAATTAGTTTAATTTTATAAACACTGTACTATATTGGGAAACTAACATTTCTAATGTTTTTAAAACTAACATTTCATTTTTCATTGAATTAAAAATTTACTTTTTAAGAATTATACGATATTTACTTAACATTTTATGACATTTGTTTTGCAACTAAACTATAATTGATTTTAAATAGAAAATTGACGTAAACTAATGAAATATTTCTTTACTTTTAGGCAACGCTTAGAACAAGTTTTAAAAACAAATTTTTTGTTTGAATACAATTGATATTCATATGGTTTGAGAGATGTTTTGTTAGTTTGCTTTGTCAGTCAGTAATAGTGAGAGTAAATCTGTTTTTGAAGAATTGGGACATTGTTTGAAGACATCAATAGTATATTTTTAAACATAAAAATGATCTCAATATTCACATTAATTGTTATCATTGTCATCTGTAGCCCCAATGAAGGTAATAATTATTGTTTAAATTGATAATTTAAAAAATAATTAATTTTTTATTTTAAATATGGGTTAATGTCTAAAATATAAAATAAAAATTAATAAAAAAATTTAGCTTTGGAGTTTGATATTATTACTAATTTACTATTGATTATATTGTTTTTGTTTAAGTCATTGTATTTAACAATTAATTAACAGATGGTATAAAATTTCAATGAAATAGTTTTTTACAGTATTTATTGATACTGTATATAATCAGTTTAGACTAAAGTTAAGATCATAACTGAGTTAATAACGAAAGGGTAGTTTTTGTATAATTTTTATAAAGACTTATTAGCCATAATGAGTGNAGTTTTTTACAGTATTTATTGATACTGTATATAATCAGTTTAGACTAAAGTTAAGATCATAACTGAGTTAATAACGAAAGGGTAGTTTTTGTATAATTTTTATAAAGACTTATTAGCCATAATGAGTGTTAAACTAAACTTTTCGATACTTTTCATAAGTGTTATACTTTTGTCTATTAAGACAACTACAGGTAGAGTACAATAGTTCTTATTATTCTTATATTAATAGCTTTATAACTTATTTATAACTGAATTTCTTAGTATTATCTGAATTTACATTTCATTTCAGGCCAAGAATTGGGAATGGATTTGGAATCTCAAGAATCCACTGCAATGTCAGAGTCTGTAGAACCTGATGGACCGGTAGTGTATGATTGCGAAACCATTGGATTCCAGATCTGCCAACTCTACCCTCTGGTCGACTCGTGTCCGGAATCATACTTCTGTCACAACACGAGTCTTGTGGAGGACTCCGACAAAGGCCTCTGTCGTCGAGTTAAGGACAGCTGTGTCTCAGAGGGCAGTGAATGCTGTCATGACATCGACTGTTGCATTGAGAACGAGGCGACGGCTCCATTGAATTGTGTCGATAAGATTTGTCTGGTTTTGTTAGTATAACACTACTTTGGACACATAATTGTATGAAATATTTTTCCTTTTCATTCAAATAAAAATACAATTAATAAAACAAAAGTTCATTTTTGTTAATTAAAATACAATCACTTGAATACAAAGTATATAAAAATAAAAATTTTGATCAATGAATACATAGAAAACTCATAAAAGGATTGTATAAATGATTTACACTATGTTTTAAATACAGAATATATTTATAAGTGAATAAAATATTAAAACCAAAAATAGATAACAATTTTAAAATTGTAATAAAAGAATGTGATTTGAATTGATCCCTAAAACCAATACTGGAATCACTTTTTAGGCGGTCTTTGA